TAACACAGTCCATCTCACGTGTCTTGGGTCTTCACAGGCTGACGCTAGATGAAATCCAGTTAACTTCCATCAGTCCATGGTAGGAAAAATAGTCCATAGCAAAGTTATAATCCATTATGGGAAAAAGCACGTGTCTGACCTTTCTCAGTCCAACTCCATCTTTTTCCAACCTCTTACCAACTTCCTTCTTCTTCCCAGAATTCTTCATAAGGAACACCCCCTCCTGGGTCTTGTTGTCCCACCTAACTTTCTCATGAGAGCTTGAGAGTTGTTATCATGTTTTGTGGCAGAATTATTTTGACTACGAAAGTCTCTGCTCTCTACCCATCTTAGCAACGAGATAACCATAGAGCGAAGCTTCTCTGAAACAGCATGAAAAACTTTCCTACTACAGAGCAGACTTTAAATCAAGATGGATGCTGTCAAGACAATATTAAATGACTACAAAACCCATTCTAGCATCTCATAAAAACACAAATCATCACATTACTGAACTCATAACTCTGAAATGCTTTTTACCCTTGATTGGGACATCATTACTATAAGCAGTCAGTGGATCATACCCTGAACTGTGCTGTGGTTAGTGTCTATTAGTGTTAATATTTTGCCTCATGTGTGCTTGATTTTTAAAAGGGAAAGCTGATGATTACTTTAATTTTCAATAAACGTTCCATATGACAGTCTTCAGCCTGGAAAGAATGAGGCTTTTGCCAGGAAAGAGATTACACATCCTACATGATGGAAAGCCTGCATTGTCTGTCTGGATTCCAACCAATTACTCTAAATCAGTGTAAGCAGGAACTCCCATAATGTGAAAGATTATAATCTTTGCTTGCCTGATGCAGTGTATTTGGTCAGTTCTCCCAAGGCTGCCCAGACTGTGACAGACTTATAGTTGTGGGATTATGGGACTAATGCATTAGTCCAAACAAACTGACACTTTTTAAAATTACGTAAAAGTAAGAATTTAGAAGTGTAAAAAGAAATGTAACAGTATCTAACACTACTTCATAATGGCTTAGTTGGCAGTGATAGGAAAGATTTGGACAGAGGACACACAATTTTCATGGGTAAAAAGGAAAATGTTACTGGTGTAATTACTGCAATTGATATTTTAAGAAACATTTTTGTTTGTAGCTTTTGTTTAAAATAACTGTAAAATATGCCACAAGCCCCATAGACATACTAAGTACAGTTTTGCTTCATTTATTCAAAATATGTGGAGGAAACTAAACAATTAAAACATTCTGAATATTCTGAACAAGGTTTCATTAACTGTTAACTAGTTTTGCCTTATGATATATTGAAGGCTTTTGATGAGAAATACAGTATCAGCTATCCATGTGGATAATGGCAGATATACCATGTTTGTATTTACAGAATTTATGGTAACACTTCTCCTTTAGACTGCATATGATATCTAAGATACTCTGTGTTGTTAACTGTATCTTTTGTTGATTATAGTTTTATGTCTTTACTCGATTTTAATCGCTTTTATGGTGGAGTTGTGTTGCGGCCAAATTAACGCTGAAGGTTCATTCCCATGATGAAGGGTGGAGTCAAACAAACATAGTATATGAGATAAGGTATACTGAACTGTTTATTTTACCAGGTAAAGGTATACCAAGTCAAAGACAAAGGAGTATGCCCTCCTAACATAGTTTTAAAAAAAACCTTTGTGCCCTTTCTTATCAATAAGAAAGGAGGTTTCCTTAAAATTACCAATTAGCAGGCAGTATGCAAACAGTTGCCTAATATGGAAAATGGTGCTTACACTGTTGTTGACATACAGGTGAGAAACAGTTGATGTTTAACTGTGCAAATTAATGAACGTTGCTAGCTAAGCATGTCCAGGTGAACTATGGGATCACTTACCCTGGGAGTCTCACAGAGCACAACTTCCACTAATCCCATCAAATATAACGAATATTTGATGTTAATTGTTACTGACAAAGCAAGTTCTCATAATCAGGCTGCCTGAGTAAGTTTGTAGTCAAACATGAATAAGAGAAAGCAGAGGAATAATAAGACAAATAAATTATAACTTTTAATTTTTCTCTTTACAGGTTTGTTTACCTGATGCTACCACATTAAGTTAAATGTGCTTTTATCTGTTTTTATTCTTTTAAGACATTTACAAGTTGTCATGATCCAGGTTCAAAACTGCTGTCAGAGCCTCTTGTTCATGCTGGCTCTTTGTTCTGCCTCTGCCTAATTCACCCCACAGGGTTATTATTAAGAATAAAGTGTGGGTGAAATAGCATATATGTCTCTCTGAGCTCCTTGGAAGAAGAATAGGGTGAAAAAAAAATATAACATGTAAACAAATAAGTGTGAACTAATAAGCCATGCTATACAGGGTTTACATCACCAGCTTGGCAGAACAGATGGACAAAGCTCGTTTTTCCAGTACACAAATGGCTTTACTGTACAGCTGCCAGATCCCAACTGGAGATGGTTGCTCATTCCTTTAAAGGCTCTTGAGACAGTGAGGAAAGATGAAGCTGCTATACTTCCAGATCCCACGAGTACAGTCGTGTCTGGTTGTTCATATTCTACCCTGACCTGGGGTTAAAGATGTAAACTTCGGAAGAGGGAATGTTGCAGGTAGTAAGCCACCTTGAATTTCTGAACAGTTCTTGAGGTTACCACCACCCAAGCTGCCAGTACCTAATAGAAAGTCTGTTCTCAGAAATGCCTGCAGATGTTGTAGTGTGGCACAGTGATTGGTTGAGGGCAATAAGTTGAGATAAGAATATCACACTGTGTTATCAACTGATAAATTTGTGTGGGTGGGGCAACAACTCAAAGAGAGTTCTGTCCAGGGCCTGAATTTCTTCTCTGTGGTGCTTGGGTTTTTTTTTCCCAGTCTTCTTTCCAGACCCACCCCTCTGTAAATTGGAAAGTTTACATTAGTACTTTTCTGGTACACTGCTAACATTTTCATGGGGAGAATTAGTAGAATTACTGGAGAAATATGAAGTAAAGTGGAGACTCCCAAATGTTGAAAAGTGTTGGTTTATTATTCCAATATCTCTTTCATCACTGGCTTGTACAGTACTCATGGGAATGGAAAAATACACAATGATGTTGCAACTCTTGGGTAAGTGATCCTACATATTACAGGGAAGAGAGGAAGTACTTATTGCAATACTGTACCATTTTGGTTAGTGGCCCATGTGAGGCATAAGGTGGTGAGAACAAACTAATTTTCTAATTAAATTACTGTTCACCAAAGGAGCTGGCTGGTAAATATTTCTCCATACCCACAACATGGGCCATCCTAAATTTCTTCTAGAAGTAACATCTTAGGTGTCTTTTAAACTGTAATTTGTTCCGTGCAATGATAAAGGGGAACTTTAATATTTAACCAGACCAATCAGTGACCATTTATTTTGGCTATATTATGATACTGAAGGAATGGAACACCTCATTGACTGCAGTAGCGCTCCGAGTCAGAATGGGTAATAACAGGTTTGCTACCACCAGACTCAGTAGAATATAGTTCTATAGCTGCATGGTCTGTAAGACCTAAGGGTTCATTAAAGCAACACTTATTCCAAGCAATGGAAGCATTATTTTTATTTTCCCATTCTCTCTACTCCAAAAGTGCTTCAGTTCTCTGTGATGATTCATTTACAGCTGATAGGAATTTGCATATATTACATTGTGTGGTTCACAGAGTTACCCACTAAATCTATCTGCTTCTGGAATGAGTAAAATTCTTCCCTTTCCTCAAGACACTATATGCCTTCCCACGATTTAGGTACAGTGCTGAGCCCAAAACCATTATGTGATTATTTGTCTTAGAATAGATCTATATTGGCTAGCATTATAGTTAGAATAACGGGTGGGTCAGTTCAGCTACATGCTGGGCCCTTTGAGTGACACATAAATCCAAATCGAACACAGTTATAGTACTTCATTATTTTTTTAAATGCAAAGTGTCTGTTTCTTTCATCCAAAGCTCAGACTTTAGATATTGGCAGTGCTTTTAGATAATGCCAATGGGACGTGATGGCACTGTGGGCTAAACTGCAGAAGCCTGTGCTGCAGGGTCAGAAGACCAGCAGTCCTAAGATCGAATCCCGCCAACCTAGCGGTTCGAAAGCATGCAAATGCAAGTAGATCAATAGGGACCCCCTCGGTGGGAAGGTAACAGCGTTCCGTGTCTAAGTCGCACTGGCCATGTGACCACAGAAGATTGTCTTCGGACAAAACGCTGGCTCTATGGCTTGGAAACAGGGATGAGCACCGCCCCCTAGAGTCGAACACAACTGGACAAAAATTGTCAAGGGGAACCTTTACCTTTAGATAATGCCAGTGCTTTGTGCATTCAGTTACAACATCTATACATAAGAAAATATGTCTGGGTTTGTTCATCTGTGTTTTTCAGTTGTGGACCACTGTGCTTTGAATAACCAGGGATGTCAACACAAGTGTATTAATACTGAAAACTCCTATTACTGTCAGTGTCGGAAAGGTTTCATTCTTAATCCAGATAAAAAAACCTGCAGACGTAAGTTATCTGCATCTTTGTTTTGTTCCTTCAGACTATATATATTAGATGGCATACACATGTTATCTGTCATGTGTAAAGAAGGGCCCTTGAAACTCGTAACAAATTGTACAGTATCATATTTTATGTACAAAATATCCCAACTCAGTCCCTGAAATCTCCAGTGAAAAAGATCTCAGTAGATGATGCTAGGAAAGACTTCTTGAAGACCTGTTTTCAGCCAGAGTAGACAAAAAAAATGCCTAGATGTGTTGGTGGTGTAAGGCAGCTTATGCTTTCTGATATATGTAACCATGTGATACAGTGGAAAGAGCACATATTTGTTGCACGAACATATTACTTTTTTGGATATATCTAAAATATGTAAGGGATATACCTTAATGTAATCAACTGGGGTGCACTTATGTATCCCACTAACATCAAACTGCATGGTGGATCCAGGAACTGTCCTCCTCTAGCAGAAGTGTTCTGCTTTGCCCAATTTGTCACACATTTTAAAAATTCAAATAAAAGGATATTATCATTTAAATGTTGAGAAGGCAATAAAAAGGCATAGCAAAATAACTTTATTACCTTTTTTTAAAAAATATACTGTTTTAAATATATTTTTAGACTCCTTGTTATTGTATTTTCTGTACTGTGTACAAAAGATACTAGGTCAATTCCTGTTGTACTTGTAATTTTTTTTAACTTGAATAATCTGCTTTAGATATTTTATTTAAAGGTAGACTACAATTGCCTTGAATGAGTGAGTGAGTGAGTGAGTGAGTGAGTGAGTGAGTGAGTGAGTGAGTGAGTGAGTGAGTGAGTGAGTGAGTGAGTGAGTGAGTGAGTGAGTGAGTGAGTGAGTGAGTGAGTGAGCAAATGAATAGAAATTAAAAAAAAAACATTTAGGCCTGGTTGCCAAAATATGACTCTCCATTTTCAAATGCTATATGTTTCTATTTGCCATAATCTAAATGGGTATTGAGGTTTTTTTTCCCCATCATGACCTATTTGTGAATTTCCCTCAGTTATTTTTCTAGGAAGCGCTGGAGATGAAGTGCTGAGCTGGATTTATTTTTTGCCTGGTCTGGCAAGACACAATTTTAATAAATGGGCTGTTGTGCTTATCTGGGCAGTGAGAAGTTCCAGGAGTACAGCACTGATCTAAATTTGGGTTCCTTTGACAGAGATCACTTGAGACCTATTGGTATTCTGCAATATTTTCATTTATTTCCAAACACAGAAGTTGGACGAAGTCAGAGGGGAAAATTCAAAGCCACAAAAGATACCACATATCTCCAGATACCCAGCATCCTAAAATGCTAAAAGAGACCAGAGTGCTCAGAATGTTTACTGACTGTTCACTGGGGAATAGTTCCCCTGTAATGATGCCCTCTGTTGTCAGCACTATGCTACCATGCTGCTACTTTATACTGATGCCCTCTCGTCATCAGTAGAAAACTCCTGTTAAGTTGAAGGACTACGTCTGGGTAAAGCACTACTTTATACTGATGCCCTCTCGCCATCAGTAGAAAACTCTTAAGTTGAAGGACTACGTCTGGGTAAAGCATTATGTGTTTACAAAAAAAGAGACTCTAAGCAGATTATATGTTTGATAAAATACTAAAAAAATACATGCATTGAAAAGAACAGTACAGAAGGAATGTAGCAGAAGTGCATTCTACCAATGCTCCTTATAAGAGACAGGATACAAGGCTATGTAGGCATCCTTCAGTCTCAAGACTATGGTAACATGCTCTGAATAGAGGTCTTGGAACAACATCTAGTGTGGCTGAGAAGGCCAATTCGAGAGTGACAACTCTGAAGGCAAATACAATCTGTCCCCTGTCCAGCTCCCTGATTTAGCTGCTTTCGTGACTGGCTCATTGCCTCAGCCTGCTGTACAAGTGTTTTTTCAAATTGGGAGAGACCATGATGCACCGCCTGCCTCCAGGCTGACTGCTCAGACGTCAAGGTTTCCCATCTGTTGAGGTTCATTCCTAAGGCCTTCAGATCCCGCTTGCAGATGTCCTTGTATCGCAGCTGTGGTCTCCTTCTGGGGCACTTTCCCTGCACTAATTCTCCATACAGGAGATCTTTTGGAATCCGACTGTCAGCCATTCTCACGACATGCCCGAGGCTATAAAAGCAGGCATATTGTGCGATTTGGCTACAGCAGGATACTAAGAAGACTTGTGGCAGTACTGCTACTTTTTTCATACCAGTTAATCCACACACAGCAGCACCAGCCTCACCTACTACATATCCAGGAAAGAACATCACATCTATAATTATGAGCCAGGTTTCTGGCTTTAGCTATTCAGAAAACCAGCTGTTGAGAGAAATCAGTCAGTCTCCCTAACACATCAAATGTAATTGGCAACTGTGTTAGGAAAGATTATTAAATCAGTTGTCAGCATCACTCCTGAATAATACTGTAGTAATATGAATGTTTATACTTGATTCTCATACTTTTAGGGATTCTTAAAGCAATATGAGTTTTCATAATTCTGTGACAAGAGAATGCTTTGCTTTCAATTTTTCAAGCAAAGTTCCATGAGGCAAAAGATTCTAACTTGCATTGAGCTAATTGTTAGAGTGGTCCTGGCCCGACCAGATAGGCGGGATATAAACAAAATAAATAAATAAATAAAGATTACAATCTGCTCACTTTCTATACTTGCTACTCTTATCCTTTTAAAAACATTTTTCCAATCTTCAGGACCAGACTACTGTGCTTTACAAAACCATGGCTGTCAGCAGGAGTGTGTAAATACTGATGAATCCTATTTCTGCCGATGCCAGCAAGGATTTACTCTTAATCCAGATAAGAGAACTTGCAAAAGTATGTTGTCCTAAAGTGTATAGTAAGTTCCTCTGCTTTTACTTTTCAACCTCAGTGTCACAGCATTTTTTCAATTATGCTGTTCTTTTGCCTTTTCAGTTATAACATTAGATGCCTGAGAGACTGCTTTCTTTTTGTCTCATTATAATCCCTCGGATCAGCCAACCAGTTCCCTCAATATAGAAATACCCATGTTTATGTTATGTTGAGTACTACCTGTGCATCAAGCATAGGATTCCTTTGAAGTTAGATTTCACAAACCTGAGAAAACTTCCTCATTCGCCTCTCTGCATCCTAGGCAACAGCCCCATATTTGTTAAGCTACTTTTATTTGAAGTTCTTTGAAAACCCAAGCCTAAACCTCTTTCCAGAGCACTGTGTAATTTTATAAAAATTGCATTGGCTTTTGGTGATCAACACTTGGCTGGATTAGAATTATGTGATTTAACATGATAGTGTTTATCAAATGGATGGCAACTGATACAAAGAGTTTTTCAGGGGCCTGTTATCTTGGCATGTTACTACAAATGATGTGAGCAATGCAGTGTGAAGAGCCACTAGTATATAAACAGGAGTTCTGCAGAATAGATGAAGCCCCTCCGTAGTTCAGACAGACTTCAGTCTATTAGATCTTTGGCAGCCAAATGCGTAGTGCCCATCTTAGTTTTCTCGAGCACAGTAACCAGAATACTATTGGTGTTCACATAAGGTTTTTGAAAATTTCCATGATTAATTGTGGCTAATAGAGAAGGTGCCAGGGCAAGGCCTGGTCACATGTTTGGTCATGTGCTTGATTATACAATTGAGATGTGCCCACGGACATTGCAAATTAGATGTAATTAGCTGCAGCAAACTGGACAAAACATAAGCAAATACCAATAGAATTCCAGTTAGTGCCTGGGGTGGTCTATGACACTGTATATCACTGGAGTGATATACTGTCACTGGGGGACCCTTCCAATATGAATAAAGTACTCTAGCTAATGATATCATACATGCATCAGATTTATAGTAAGCAGACATTAGAAGTAGGAGCCCAAAAGTTTTAGGGGCCTTGTTCTCCTTACACAAGTGGAACTGTGTTCAGAAATGTGAAGCCTTACATTCTTTTATTTTGCTATGAATGGGTTGAGACAAATTGGAAGGTGAAATTGAAATGGCTCTAGTGCTGATTTTTAATTAATATTTTAAAACTTTTCTTCACTTTTACCTGATGTATGCTTGTCTGTCTTTTCTCCCCACAGAAATAAATGTCTGTGCTATGGGAAAACATGGCTGTGAACATCAATGTGTTAACACTGAAGACTCTTATACATGCAGGTGTCGAAGTGGATATGCCCTGAACCGTGATGGTAAAACTTGCAGAAGTGAGTATATTGGATATACTGGAGGAGTAAATGTGTATATTGGATTAAGTTCTGTAGTGAACTGACTTCTACTAGAGATGTTCTAGTATTTATAAGTATGTGCTTTTTATTACCAGCAAGAGTTAGCTTTAACTAAGGGAATGGTGGCAGTATATTTGTTCATTCAACAGATTAAAAAAACTTGCTGCAGTGTTTTTAAAAGAAAAACAGCTTATTACTGGACATGGTTTAGGTTTCTATCTTTAAAAGTATGCATGATAAGTAAAACTATTGGGAATCTTCTTAATAACATTCTCTAATTGGATGTTCTTAACTGTTTTTATATTGTTTAGAGGCCTTCACAATTATATTCCTTGAGCACTGTTGGTATAAAAGCCACCCTTGACTTACAGCTTTATTAGTTTAATTTATATACTGCTTTCTTGCTTGGAGGACCCAAACTGGCTCACAACATGAATTTATAAACAGATATAGTATACAATTTTTATAGCATCATATCAATATTAAATAGAACACTAAGTTAATATAATTTAAAACATTTAAAGGCAAGAACAATAGCCACCATCAAAAGGCCTTGATTAGTGGCCGAAGACATCTCTAAATAAAATATCTTTGACTTCCAGTGGAAAAGCTATGGGCAGGTGACCAGCTTAGGCTTCCTTGGAAAAGAGTTCCGTAGCTTGGGAGCAGCCACAGAGGAGGTCCTCTTTCTTTCTTTCTTTCTTTCTTTCTTTCTTTCTTTCTTTCTTTCTTTCTTTCTTTCTTTCTTTCTTTCTTTCTTTCTTTCTTTCTCTTTCTTTCTTTCTTTCTTTCTTTCTTTCTTTCTTTCTTTCTTTCTTTCTCTCTTTCTTTCTTTCTTTCTTTCTTTCTTTCTCTCTCTCTCTCTCTCTCTCTCTCTCTTTCTTTCTTTCTTTTTTGCCTCGCCACACATGCCTTTTCACATTTTCCCTTGCATAGCTGTTTTTGAGATCTCTGTAATGAGTGATTTTTTAGAAAAATACAGAGTGAACCAATTGGAATTTGTTACAAGGAGCAAAAAGCTTCAGCCAACAATGCTTGTGACTATGTACAGTGTCCACTTTGAAAGAAATCCTAAAAATTGTCAGGTTACAACCCACATTATAGTGTTTGGAAGGAGAGTTTGTAGGGGAAAGTAGTTGCATATTTTACACCACTTTTTTTAAAAAAAAGAGTTGTGGAATACATCTAAATGAGTCAATTTCCCCCACCTCGTATATTTTTCTCATTCTCTTTTTCTCAGGTATAAGCTTATTTAGTTCTGTTATTAGTGTGTGTGTTTTTCCTTACAGAAGGGTGAATTTTAGCTGTTATTATGCTGCTCCAACCTGCAAGCAGTGCTACTTTGGTTTTGCTTTGCATGTCACAAAAGTCTATAACCTTGCTGCTGTGCTTAATTTAGCTGGCACATCTTTTCCCCATTTCTAAGGGGTCTCCTTCCTCCTCAGAACAAACAGAACAACTGCTCTGATGTGACAGAATTATGCTGCATAATTGCAGGTTCCAGAGCGTGGCTGGTTCTATCTTGGTAATGGCACAAGTGAAGAACTGGTGTATGCAGTGGACAGAATGTCAGAGCAGAACTCAGGAAATCTGTGTTCAAATCCCTGCTAGGCCATGGGAACCCATGGTGTGTGTGTGTGTGTGTGTGTGTGTGTGTGTGTGTGTGAGAGAGAGAGAGAGAGAGAGAGAGAGAGAATGGTAAAATTATTCCTTAAATATGCTCCATACCTTTGATAATTAGGATTGCTATAAATCAAATTAGACTTGATGGTACATAACAACAACCATGGGACAAGCATTCCATTGTATGAAGGACATGACATTGCAACTCCCAGTTTTTAAAAAAATGGTTTGGGGCATGATTTGGGGCTGTAACATTCAGGGGGGAATCTTTATCCTTTTTCCTAGTTTTCCTGCTCTGAATCCTTCTCCAGCCTCAAGCTATTAATGCCCTGCAAAATAAAAACAGGTTTATTTGTGGCCTAGTAATCCTTCTATTTGAGGAGAGCACTTCAATTAATGCAGGGAAAGATTTAAAACTCCACACACTCTCAGATTACTGGTGCCCAAGTAAAATCAGCTTCTTTAAACTATATCTACCATTAGAAACATGCAAGAGATCCACTCACAGTTCAGCTGATGTCCTAGCTAGTTTGCCTCAGGGTTTGGTTCATGTAAATGAACAACCTAATGCCACCATACTGCCTGATCAGTTCTGGTTTATAAAGGTAAGGAGTGTCAGGACTAGTGAGTATTTGGATGGGAGGCCACTGGCCAAGGAATGGCAGAGATCTCTAGGTAGGGCTAGGAAAAAATCCTGCCTGAAACTCTGAAAAGTCACTGCTAGCCAATGTTCACAATATTAGATGGTCCAACAATCTGTCTCAGTGTATGGCATCTTTGTCCAATGATCCTATGTTCCTTACTTCTACTATAGTCACAGAAATCATGGACAAAGAGTGCACATTGCTTCTCTTCTCCATTCTCTTCTTATCCCCAGGAATAGTCTGGAAGAATCGTGTAGAAATTGTCCATCTATTTGGAATGGCTCTGAGACCATAAAAATCTAAAAACTATTAAGTAGCAAAAGGTTAATGAGATGGCTTTATTTATTTATTTATTTATTTATTTATTTATTGTATTTATACCCTGCCTATCTAGTCATTTCGACCACTCTAGGCGGCTTACAACATAAGGATAACAAGTTCTTTAAAAAATTATAAAAATTAATTAATTAAATGATGGGAAAAATAAAAATAAATCAAATAAAGAGAAAAAAAGTAAAGAGGACAGGAATTAACTGGAAGGGAAGGCCTGCCTATACATCCATGTTTTTAGTTGGTTCTTAAAAGTACCCAGCGAGGGTGCAGCGCGAATCTCCAGAGGTAGGTTATTCCAGACACAAGGAGCCACCGCCGAGAAAGCCCGGTTTCTAGTTCTTTCTTTCCGGGCCTCGCTCAGCGTCAGGCTCCTCAGCCTCACCTCCTGGGTCACGCGGGTGACACAGGTAGAATTAGTTGGGAGTAAGCGTTCCGCCAAGTATCAAGGTCCTATACCGTTTAGTGTTTTATATGTAAGCATTAACACTTTGAAGTCAATGCAGAAACGGATGGGCAGCCAGTGCAGCATGGCCAGAGTAGGAGAGATATGTTGGTATTTTCTC